CCGGCGCCTGGCGAAGGTCCAGGGGAGGGGCTTGCTGCCGCAGTGGTGGTATCGCCGGATGGTCCGGCACCTGGCGAAGGTCCAGGGGAAGGGCTTGCTCCCGCAGTGGTCGTATCGTCAGATGGTCCGGCGCCTGGCGAAGGTGCAGGGGAGGGGCTTGCTGCTGCAGTGGTCGTGTCATCGGATGGTCCAGCCCCTGGCGAAGGTCCAGGGGAGGGACTCTGTGCTCCTGCAGTTGTTTCGTCAGATGACGACGGCCCTGTTGTTTGTTCTGCTGGTTGGCCGGTCGTAGAGCCCACACCGCCAGGAGTGGTCATGGCAGTGGTCATTGTATCGCTCGGACTTGGTGCAGTACCTGGCATGAAAGGAGGTTGGTGAGCATCTCTCATTGTGGTGTGTAAGACCATGGCGAGGGTAGTTACATTTGCCCATCACGAGCATAAAACATATGGGTGCAGGCCGTGTTTTGAGACCCATTCATTGAGGCTATTCCCAATCACTTATTAAATCTAAGATTAAAAAGACAAATGACAAATTATACTTTACTTCAAGTGACTCCCACCATGACAGGAGATTTGGAAGAAGGCAGGGCACATGTAGTGACGGACGATCCTGACAAACCCGCGTGACATGTGCCACAATGTTCTGACATACCATCTACCATATAGAGCTGGGACATATTCTGGAATGTGTTCTGACGTCCTTGTTCTGACATATCTTCTGGCATCACCTGTACTCTCGCAACACACTGGCATATTCTCTGCCATGTGTTTTGACATTTTGCCCGACCTTTGATATGTGTTCTGACATGTGTCCCATATTCTGCCACTGCCATGTATTCCGATATTGGTTCTGCCATCAGACCGCCCTCTTTTCCGACATGTGTTCTGACACATATTATGTAATCCTTTGCGGCCAGCTAGCCAGCTATCTGGCATATCATCTGACATTCTAGCTGGCGCATCTTCTGACATCCTTTCTGGCATAACTCCTGACACCCTTTCTGGCAAAATTTCCGACATCATGTCTGGTATGTTTTGCGACATATCTTCTGACATCCTGTCTGGCATCTCTTCTCCCAGCCTTTCATGCATCCTGTCTGGCATATCTGGCATTCTAACTGGTATATCTTCTGACATCATCTCTGGCATTCTATCTGGCATATCTTCTGGCGTTCCAGCTGGAATACCTTCTGACATGTTTCCTGGCATTCTATCTGGCACATCTTCTAGCATTCCAGCTGCTGGCAAACCTTTCTGGCATTCTATCTGGCTTATCTTCTGACATTCCAGCTAGCATACCTTCTGACATCCTTCCTGGCTTTCTATCTGGCACATCTCCCCATATGATGAGAAAGGCCATATCTCCCCATATCCAATCCTTTCCACACCCTCCCCATCTCGTGTTCCGCCCCGTTGTTCCACGCAACGAGCCGGAAGAATCGTTGGTCTCACGGCGCCCGCCTGGCCCTGCCTTCACCAACTCCGAGATCTCCATCCCTCGGACGAGACCGGCCGAGTGGGATCGGCCGAGCTCACAGGTGCGGCCCAGCTGGAAGTCGGTAGAGTGAGTCTATGATGATATGAGGATGGGGAAGATGACCCACCATGTTCACCCCACAAATGCACCGACCTGGAGGGCACCGACCTGTCCACCATCCATGACAGCGACAGCCATGTGAAGGAACAGTACGTTCTCAGAGTGCACCAAATGCGGTCAACTGTGATGGGGTCAACTGCACCGACTGCACCACCGTCTCGGGCCAGGCCGGGCGGCCAATGGTGTCCACCGGCACGCCCTGGTCAGCCAAGGACTGTGTGAGCAAGTCACCCGCCTTGGTCCACCGGGTGAAGAAGGGCATGTTCAACGTCGCATCGAATTCGGATGTTTAACACCGTTGTTTCGTAGGTCGGAGCTTGCGTAGGTCGATTCAAGCTCTGACACCTGGTGCCACTTTTAAGGTCTGAGAGAGTTCCAAAGAAAGGACCAAAGAAAGGACCCTCCAAACCAGGCCACCCCGCCACTTTTCCTGCTTAAGATCTTCCAGTACAGTAACTAGTAGGCAAAAACAGGCATGAAGCAGGCCTGTTCTTTCATGTTTGTCTCTTAAGAGCTGGAAGGATTCAATGAAACTGCCGACAGTTGCCCCGCTGCGCCACCGTTACTCGCGCCAGCGCGCCTCCGTGGTGTCGGCGGCCTGCAACGTCTCTCTAACAGAGTCCCTGCTGAGGTCCGTGGAGACCAGCTCTGGCACCAAGTAGATCTCATAGGTGAACCTCTGGGTCAGAGAGATACAATGACATGTATATCCTATATATATATATATACTCAACACATTGTATATGGTTATATGAGATTCTGTAACAGCAAAACATGCATCCATCAGCTAAGAGGACCACATCCTGAACAAGATCGACGTCTCACACATCACGAAAGCATACGACGAAGGCCACTGGCCCTCACGTCTCCCTTCTGAGAGAAGGTTGGAGCATGGTTGACATAGGGTTTGGAGCCCTTTCCAAGGGTGACGGAGGTTTCACCACCTGGGTGAAATCACTCGCGTCTCTGAGATGGGGATCGGAGTCGACGTGGGTCCAAACACCCCGGTTCATCCCACCCGTTTCGGAACGGAATCAGCCTGATGAAACAAATTGTTAAAATAGCAAACTAAATTCTAATAGCTTCTTGTTACTACTAGTAAGGCACCTGTTACTACTAGCGTGGCACTTGTTTCTAATAGCAGCCCCTGGTTCCTGAACGGGCTTCTTGGGGGCTCCCTTTCTGTGCAGACCGCCATTTCTTCGGTTTCGCTGACCGGATTGAAAGATCTGATGCAGGAGGACCGACTGAGAACTGAGTGGAGACAAACACCCGGAGAACTGCTGAGCTGGACAATGCTGACATGCTTTCATGCGTATTTGGTGGGTCTTCATTCTCCTTAGAGTGCATGGGTGCTGATGGCCGTGTTTCTTGCGACGACATCAGGTGAGTGCACAAAACCCGCACCAGTTTAGCCGGTCCGCAGCCGGTGCGCAACAGTTCCAAAAATAGATCGACCCCTCCTAGCATGGATGGAAAAGAGTAGAAAACAGAGTTCTTCCGACTTCAAGATGTATCGGATATTTATTATCTGCGTTTCTATCTAAATAGAGGACACATATTAACATTTGTGTATTGTAGTCCGCCCACCCCGGCCTAGGCCTGCCCATGATGATGTATAAGAGCGCACGGCATTGATTTATATATATATAACCCAAGAGACGCTAAAGGATTCTGGACCATATTGGTCGAATGTTTTACCTCAACTCAACAGACATGTCCAAGACTTTTTGGTGCCACGACTCTGGTTCCACTTTTTGGTAAACCTCCGAAGCATCCAAGCTGCACGGGTCTTTGATACAGTAATCCAAACATCCCTTGTGTCACATTGAACATTGGTTCTGGTCTTGCCTGCTCCTTGAGCTTGTTAAGCTGAGGCCAACACAAGGAACCTCCATGCTCCAAGTGACGTGAGCTCGGTAGAGGAGCTTCCACTGCTTCCACTGCTGCCACCTGAAGAGGCATGTGCCGTCGCACACACCATGGAAAACACATCAGCGAGTGCCAAAACCTATATGGAAAAAAAATAAAGGAACTAATATGTTGGTATCGATGTTGGTTGTTGACTACATCGCTTTACACGGTTTCAGATGCCTGTGTCAATTTCACACATGGATATGGGTAGCGGTAGAGGCGGGGAAACAAAAGCAGAGAAAGGGAGAGATAATTCCATTCACACAGTAGCCCTTCACTGCATGATGCTTTTTTTCTAGAGCTCTTGATCTGGGGCATACACAGATTAGAAAATGATACAAAAGGATCTCCCGCTGATCTAGACACCATTTTAACCAAAAAGTGGGTATCGACTCTCGACCATGATTTCTATATGCAAAAGTTGCTCTCACGCAAAAGATTATTGGTGACCGGACCCTTTTGGCTGTCGCTCACATGAAAACTATGAGAAGTGCAAGAGAGACCACACAGACACATGGCTTCCTCCAGGTGTGTGTACTTTCGGACACTATCCCTAGGGCGGGCCCGTTGAGGATCTGTCTTCATGCAATTCGACCATGAACCAATCCCGCCGGGGCGCCACCTCTTGCTGCCTACAAGACCGAAAGCGTCAACAAACTTCCAAAAGAACAGTCTTTCGTTCGACCGTGCGCGACAACCACCCAAAACACCTTCCCCCGAACCTCGCGATGGCCCCGAACCCGCGCCGCTCTGGGAACCGAAAGCGCGTGCGAATCCGTCCTTTCTGGGTCGAGGGGCCGGGTTGCAAGCGCCGGACGGGGGGGCCCATGGTCTGCGTGGCCATTTCCACCACGACCATCCATGGCTCCACACCGTTCCTGAAATGGGGAAATGGATGGGAATGGGGTCAAGAGAGAATCCAGAGCTGTTTTTTCAGTGACACGAAGATAGTTCCGTCACGTCATGTTCGCACTAGCATGAGCACTATAGCCTTGTCGCACCAGGATGAATGGAACAGACCAACGACTCAACGCACGACCGTCGTGATCGCAGCACCCGACGAAGGATCGCCCGACCGTCGTGATCGCCCAGACACCCGACGAGGTCGGGGATGAAGATCTGCATGCCACTGATCACTTCCTCAGGTCTTCCAACATGGCTGCAGGTCAAACATAAACAAACACTGTGCTTGAATACCTATAGTTAGCCTATTTTTGAATGTTCATCCTACCTGGTCGTTAGTGCTCCTGGTTGTTCATCCTGCTTTTTCCACCCAAGAATGAACAGAGTCTAGACTACCTGAATGACCGGTCCACCTACCCTGCCGATGGAAAGGGGCTCTGGGTGTGATTTTTACCATGGCCTAAATTGTAGGCTGCGGCGATGTCGCTTATAAAGAAGGACCATCTACAATGGACCAAAAGAATGCCTTGATGCCTTGAGTGTGGAGGCCATCCCTATTAGCTTGGAGGCCATTTCACATCGTCCCACCCCTAAAGCTTCGACCGTCGATCCCGGTTTCGTTTCACGGTTTCCCTTTCACTGCAAAGGACCTCAAAGAAAAGCCTTTTGTTCCAAGAATCCGTTTTCCACTTAGGTGGAGGGTACGTAGTTCTTCTAAAGTCAAGCCCGAAAAGTGCTGAGCTCAAGTAATGAGTTCCCTCCCACAATTACCAAGCATCGTTGTAGTAGTCGGTGCTCAAGCTTTGCATCGCAGCCATGTCTGCTGCACTGATGGTGATTTCTCAGCGCGTTCCGGTTGCAGCTGTCGCAAATAACTATAACCTCTTCCAAATTAAATTATTCCATATACCTATTATATATAATAGAGTTTCCATAAAACATGTTATATTTGACCTATCCACGCCTTTTCTGCATGCCATGGAGGCCTTTTTGGGGTTTAAACATGTTTAAACAACAACGGCCTTGAGTACCCTTGATTGAGAACATCACCAGTATCAAATCCCCCCGGACCGGATCAGGCTTTCCGCCGGACGATCGGGATCGGTCCAGGTCTGACAACGCAGCCGGCGGTTCCTTTCTGCTCAGTGAGGGTGTTGGGACCGTCACGGTGACTGTGGATGTGGGTCAATAAGACCCCCAGTGTTCCACAGTCATTTCTCCATCTTTAACTTTTAAGGTTTCGACACTCATCTCTTGAGGTTTCGCTGTCACTTGATTGAGGTTGACTTTCCTGGCTCTACAATATAATTTATAAGTCTGGCAGGGTATTCCAACAAACCTCTTTCGTGCGAATTTTCACCAAACGACCCTCAAACATGAGCTGAAAATCTTGGACTTGTGGTTCCCATCTGTTCCCACTGTGCCAGGAACGTCTTCCCCAGAGGGGAAGTGGTAGAAATCATCCGATCGTCAAAACCTTCACCATCCAAGGATACATGCCAGTCGTCCTACTCTTGTCAGTCGTCCGACATCGCCAGTCATCCGACATCAACTGACTCGCAGAATGCGAGCGAGTTGGTGAAGTCCAGATGAGACAGTCAGTCTGACAGGTTGCTCTGGGAGCTGCTTCGAGTTGCAGAGTTGAAGACGAGTATGCGAAAAGGGAGATGCTTCGAGTTGTGGTCACCTGCACATATACTTGACCTGACAGTCTGACAAACACTCCGAACACATCACATGGTGACATGGAAAACATCCGGTTCGTCAAGGAAAGTGGTCTTCCTTAAAGGGACCATGTTCCACTTCCATGTGCTCGTGCGCCGAAGTGCACTGTCACTCGTGAGGATCCAACTCGTTTCGCCCGGAGTTGGAGGCAATAGAACCGATCCCATTTGGGCTCCAGTCGTACCGAACCTGAAAAGGTGGGACTGGGCTGAGTTTGGAGGGTCCAAATGCCTTCAGAGGAGGTACTTGGATCCCTAAACCTATAACCTCTTATAGTTGTATTGAACCATCCCTGTCACGATCCCTGTCACGAGCCACAAGAAGAAGTGCATCCACGATCCCAAGTGGAAGGATTCTATTCTAACCTATTTGAGTCTCGTGAATCTGTCTTCATTGAATGAGCATCTTCCGGAGCCTAGGTCCAGCACCCCTGACCCAGGGCCCCAGGTCCAGGCTGTCCAAGTTGCCACTGGAATAGGTGGGTGTGTCACCAGCACCATTGCCTCCGCAGAAATATGCCTGGCCAAGATTAGTGGCTCCAGAAAGGTCCCCGAAACGATTCTGTTCACTCAAGGATGTGGAATGATCTCTATATTACTTCAGATAAGGGCTCGGCCTGAAATCCCAAACACAAGTCTTGGCCAAGAACAAACAGAAGTACCAATCCCCTTAAAATAAGACCAGCCTTCGACCAGGTAGATCAAATCGCTAGTTTCTAATCATCAGCGATTCCGGGCGAACTTCCCAACATTTATGGGCAGAGTCGAGTGGATCCTCCTGTCTCGGACTGTCGCAGAGTGCATTTCGGAACCGAAAACCGGCACCGGTCAGACTGGTCGATTGGCTCCACGGATGAGGTCATGAAGTCTTCTAGGTCTTCTAGGTCTTCTGGGTCTTCACGAACGTGCAAACAAGGGTCCATCAACGAAGATGTGAAGGTTTTGCTTTAACCAGTTTACAATCTAGGACGCCATTGAAACAACTCATGGAAGCTACCTGGAGATTCATTCTGCAAGATGATTCTGTTTTGGACTTCATAGTTTGCCTGCTTATCTCGCAACACTCTGGCTTTCTACGCCAAACTCTTAAGAAACCAATCCTAAAACCACTCGAAATGCCTAAGATTTGCGGGTGCTTGGGAAATGAACCTTGTACCAAACAAACGACCAACAAAACCCCCGCAAAAACATGCAAAAACTCCCGCAAACAACCATCAAAATCCGCACCAACAACATCTCAAAACCCGCGACAAAAGGTGGGGAAGTCGCGAAGCACAAACCCTAAACCGCTGGCGGAACGCGTGGATTAAACAGTGGATCGGATCGTGGATCGTGATGGAAGGAAACAACAAACTGATGGAAGGAAAACAGAACTGATGGAGAATGAATCTCCAGGTTCATATAGTAGGCTATATCTATAGTCTATCTATCTATCTGTCTATCTATCTATGTTCATATCTGTACTCCTCCCCTCCCAAGAGTGTAGGACCCCTCGACATGACTCTCCTGCAAGAAGCCTTCAACAAGAGCAAGGGAGTCTGACCATTTGATGACGGTAGTCTCACGTCTTTTTGCCATGGTGTGGTTCTGAAACCCTATATATATATATATAGCTACTGCTCAGCTACCCGAAACATGCACACCTTGACCATCCTTGACCATAAATCTCTCAGGATCTCTCAGGATTGCCACGTTTGGCCCTCTAGAACAACAACTAATCGCCAATGCCCTGCCTCATTGTGGAAAAGGCATCCATCCACTTCTTGACAAGTCTTGCCACCAGGTTGAGGACATCCAGAATTGCCTGTCACAACGACTGGCGCCAGTCGGCGACAGGCCTTCGGACGTTGTGGGACCGGTCCGACTTGGACTCGGCGCAGGTGTAGAATTGATCGTTCTTGACTTCAATCCCTAGGGATCCGTTTTCGTACCGAACCTCAGCTTAGGTCATGTGTTCGACACTGTTCTGTAGGTGGAGGGTCCAGTCGTACCGAACCTGAGGAGAAGGTACGACTGGATTCCTAGGGGAAACAAAAGGTATGCTGAAATACAGCAATGCTGAAAACAAGCTCCACCATCCGCACCACCAAGAATACAACCAAAGACCGTCACATCATGGAAACCCCTGGATGACAAAGCCCCGCCAGGACGCACGTCACGTGGGCCGGCGCCTGCTTTGGGATCGTTCTTGCAATCGCAGGTCACAGGACAAAACCACTCTAGTGTCTTGAACCTCACGGAGAGCGCGCACCCCGCGTGTCGCGCATCCTCGTCCGCGCATCCTCCTCATGGCCCTGCTCACATCCCTTCTCACCACCCCGGCGTTTCAGGATATGTTCGGAGTAAGGAAACCCCGAACCTGGTATGACCCATAATGGGTGGATAGGAACAAGGCACGGGGGGCTCTTGGCCCTGAACCCAAAGGAGGCGGCTTTCTGGGCTCTATTAAAACAGCCGTCTGGGCATACCAAGTCACCTAGGACCCGGAGCCAACCCCATTTTAGCCTCTACGGCCAAACGGCTCTTATTAAATATAATAACATGTTTTGGTGATTTTCCACCACATGGCGGCAAAAGTCAGTTTCTAGTGGCTAGCGGCTAGCATATGTCACTTTGGCCCCTTTGGCCCTAGTGGATACCCCAGCTCCACTGGTACTTGTACTGAAATCCACCATGTATGCAACCTGGAGCACATGACATTCTAGCCTCCAGCAGTTTCCATTCACAGTACCTATCCAATAGCAAATCAAACAAGATGGCAAGGGCAATGCCAGAAAAAACGAAGCTTCCAAAAGAAGCAACCTGGAAGCGGACGACACCAGGCTAAGTATTTCGAAGTCATCTTCCAAGGTGTCATTCTTCAGAACTCTCACCATCTTGGCCTTCTTGGGTGAACACTTTCCAGCAAACCTCTGAGGATCATGAATGACCTCTAAAGCTTCACGACGTTTCCGTCCACAGTGGGCGTCCGTCTTCTTCGGTCAGCCCCGAACTCCGGAACATCCAGCACCGTGAAATCCACCAGCCACCCGAACCGGTCGATGCTAAGGACCTCCGGGTATCTTGGGTATCCTGGTATCCCCTCTTTTGATCAACCAACCCTAATGGTGCTTATATATAGGAACTGCCACAGGCTAGCGGCTAAAGCAGCTAAAGCCTGGTGTCCCCTCTATTGATCAACCAACCTTAACGGTGCGTATAGGCGTATAGGAACTGCCACTGGCTAGCGGCTAGCGGCTATGAAGTGGCTAAAGGTCTGTGGCTTGGCTCGTGCAGTTCGCGAGTGGGGCCAGTTCTTTCACCAGTTCCCATGAGGTTTCCACTCTCCAACCTGTTTGTTTCTTCCGATTCGAGAGGCTCCCAATCCACGAAGGGCCATTCGTAGCAGTCCGTCCAGGTGATATTCCTTGGTGAAAAAACGATCACTTCCCGGTCGCTTGCTTTGCAATTGCTTCAGATCTTATCAGACTGATCACCAGAACAACCACGTACCTTCTAACAAAACAACTACCTGCTGTTCACTCCCGACATCCTCGATTCCGGAGGAAAAGAAAGGTCATGCAGTCATCCGATGGCTGTTGAGGGATAGTATCCCTGGTTATCTTGACATATCTCGACTGTTCACAGTGACAGTATCTAGTGGGCCATCACTGCCTTTAGGAAAGCAAATGCTTTCCAAGAATTGGATTTCATGACAGACCTCACTGGAGATCAGGGTGCTGATCCAAACAGAATGGGATGAGTCTGCCACCTGTGGGAGTCACTGCCCTGCTCTGCTGGGATGAACCTGCAAATGATCTCATGGACCGAAGAACAAAGGACTCCTGGAAGATGGTCCTTTCTGACCCGGCGGTCTTCAAGATCCACGTGAATCAGCATGTTGAGGAGGGTACCTGCTTGCAAATCGAGCTTGGAAGCCTTTGTTCTTAACAAGCTGCTCCTGAGTGAGGTTCTCCCCGAAGCTGCAGCCGTGGTCGTACATGGCCTCCAGCGAAGCAGGGTGGGAAACATGAGAAGACACATGAGAAGCATTTTTGTCCCTATGGATACTGAGTTTATGATTCAAACATGGTTTGGCAAAGGTTCGGCCATTGTCAATGGATTCTGGGTACGGCAATGTCTTCTGAAAAAGGGCTTCAAGGAGTGCGGTAATGTCTTCTCGTACATGGTCGGAACATGAGTCTTGTGCCAAACATTCCAAAGTTTGGACACATTGGAGTCCCAACTTCTCATTCCAAAAGCACTCCACCGAGATGGTTACTGTGATGAAAAGCCATGGTCTGAACTACCCCGGGAGTTCCGAAACGCTGGTTTTGAGGGGAGGGGTGCGTTAATGGGAGTCCCCGCCCAAGACAAAAGGCACTCCTGGAAGACTTTAAGTCATGAATGTACACTGCACACTAGCGGGTCACTAGCGACTGGTAACCTGGTGACCTTATGGTGGTCTGACGCAAAAAAACAAACACATACAACCTCCATAAGGTGAACATCATACAACACCATAATGCCATAAGGTGACTCAAAACCATAAGGAAAACCATCATACAACAGGAAGAGCATTCATGTCGCATCCACTTCTTCAGAGCAGTGTCATCAGAGCCGATGGGGAAGGAAAGACCACGTCTGGTTGAGGGACCACGTCTGACATAGTGAGGTTCCACGGCCAGGGGGGGCCCAGGGGCTTGGAACAACGCATGGACACGACGGACATACGACCTGGACACGACCTGGGTGGGGAAACCGGACACAGCGGTGAGGTCTGATGGACCACAAGTGCAAACCCGTGTCGACTTCCAATCCTGTGAAGGCGAAACATAGGCATCTCAATATAATATAAACAGACTAGAAGAGACTTTTGAGGTTTAGAGTTGCTTGGCTGGAGGATTCCTGAAAAAAAAACTCTAAACTATTTTAACCATCCAAATATTTCAGTGAGGACAAAGAAGTCCTGTAGCATCATGAGCCCAAAGCCCTTTGATTCTTGGATGTTGTTGGGCGTACAGAGGGTGACGCTGATTAATTCAACATCTAACTACTAACATCTCATCTGGTTCTGTGAGATGAGATATCTAAAAACAACAGGGCAACAAGATGCAACAAGTCTCACTTGATTCACAGAAGCCTGCGTACTTCATGCTAATTCGGTCCCTTCCATTCCCAAACCTGCTCCACCATTCCTCACAGAATCATGTCAACTTCATACAACTTCCAAACCTCACCCCCTTTTGCAACCACCATATTGCAAGATCCCCATCCTATTTGTTTCCCCTCATCTCAGCCAGGAGCGGCCAACCCGAACTTGAGCGGCCAACCCGAAGCGGAACCAAAACCGCTGAGAAACCACACAGCGGACCAACCAAAAACGTCCCACTCCCAAGAAACGCCCACTCCGTTTTGATTGTACACCGTTTTGTCCCCCGGACAGTTTTCCGCACCTGGGCCAACTTCAAGGACTCATTCTGACCTCGTTTGATCCGTTCCGAGCGCTTGGTCTCGAGCCGCCGCGGAACGGAGGGCGCGCTACTACTACGCCGCCGTGCCACCAGCGGCATACCGGCATACCGGTCGTAGTACGGTACAGTCGTACGCAAAAACTCGACATGTGGCGGACTGTCTTCTCTTCTTTGCAACAAATCGGTGATGGGTTCTCATGGGTTCTCAACAGAACCGCACATGCTTGCTTGGGAACAGCTCCGAAGCTTGCAGTATTGCCAAATCTACACTCATGTCAAGCCGGAAGCAACAACATGGGTTCTCGACCTGGACACGTTGGTTACACCAAACACCATCTGACACTTGGTAAGGTATGGTAAGATACAACTCCATCGTTAGCTTGGAGGACAACCTGGACAAAACGTTCTTGTTAGCGGCACAACTTGCCCACTAGGTCTTCGTTTGGCTCGCAACGTAGAGTTGCAAACTGGACACTTGTTGGGCTCTCCTTGTGGCGAAAAGTTGACTTGAAAGCACCTCCAGTGGATTGAACGCGCGATGATTCGGGACGAAATCCAACGAAATCACTTAGCACCATGCCGCGTCAGTCAGTACGTCGTCCACATGACCACTGTCTGACCTCTGTCTGATTCCGCGCATCCCGAAGATTTCGCCGTGGTAGTCGTCACCCATCCAAGGCACCCTGAAAGTTGCCCAAGCTCCGCCCATAGGCCTTGCAAGTTGTACGAGGAGGAGCGAAGTAGTCAGGGTCACCAATGGTCACCGTACCGGTACTCCTCAAGCACATTAGCTTGTCTTGAGAGAGATGACTAGAAGCACGTGGCTTGGGATACCAACACTTACTACAATTTGCTCCTTGCTTTAATACTGGAAGGGGCTTTCCCAACAAAGTGAGTTGACCATCGAAAAGGACACGTCCAAACTTGGCTGCACAAAAAATGGCACAGCCGAGCCGAACGGTCTAGAACCATCTAGAACGGCTTGATACCGCTTGCTTATCGGTTCCGTTCCGCAACACATTAGGACTTTTGGATTCAGCACCGAAACCTCGCCGAGACCAGGGGGCGACCCACTGGACCCAAGGCATAAGGGGCCCATCTACTAGGAACAAGCGCATCGCTACTAGTAACAAGTGCCTTACTAGTAGTAACAAGGACGCTATTAGGACCTTTTAAATTAGTATTTAATTAGACGCTACTAGTAACTAAAGAAGGCTACCACCAACTGTTGACCCGACCCACACCTCTGTCCACCTGTCTTGAGCGTGGTGCGCCTCGATGGCAGCAATGCGCTGCAGCCAGGGCGTGTGGTTGCGAAGCTCCTAAAGAGGACGAGACGGGGAGCTTCGTGGGTTGTCTTGGAGGCTCCTGCAGGAAGAGAATATAGTGGAAGGGCTGTGAGGAGCGAGACAGTTTGGATCACAAGTTGGCTTTGGTGAGTCAACATAGTTTTTTTTCTAGAACTTTTTCTCTACTTAGAAGATTCTCTTTGCATCGCTTTTTTGCCATCTCATGGGCCCCACAGGCCACATCAGCTTCTCTATCACTTGCAAAAACCGTCGCCAACGCGGCGCAGCAAAAGCGGACGCGGACGCGGCAGACGGGTGGTCCAAACCCATCCCACGTTCGTTTCGGAAGCCCAACGGTTCACGTTCGCGGACGCTGATCCGTCGGTGCCACGGTTCTTGGCGAAAGCCAATGCCGCCCTGTGCACTGATCTGGCTGGTGGAGTCCAAACAACGAGAGCGGACAGGTGTCTGGAATTCCCAGCGACCAACGGAGAACGACGAGAGAACACCTGTTTGACCTACGGAGGGGGTCTACCGGATTGACCTCAGGGCTCGGCCCGGCTGCAGGTTTACACAATGACACTGCCGGAAGACACTGCCGTTCGTTCGCTGGAGCACTCTCGTTCGCTTCTTCAGTGACTGTTCCTGCTTGGTTCGTCCCCAAAAGTGATCGAATCGGCCGACCAGTGACCTCAAACGAACGGAGATCCAGGGAAGGTGACTTTGAAGAACCAGGCTTTTGAAACAAATAAGAGTTGAACCCCAAAGGAAGCCCACACATAGTTTACATTAGTTTACATATCTCCACACACCTCGAATCATCCACACACCTGTGGCCTATTCTCCCTGACTGCCCGGCCCACTCTCCTGTGGAGTCTTTTCAGTGCAAAGACCTGCTTCTCGGAAGTCCTGGTCCAGTCGAATGGAGATGATGAGAGACCATTTTCCATAAACCTGTCAAGTGGTAGCATTTGCATAGAGGAAGCTAGGCCATGGTTGTCGCTCAGTTGGGTATTGGTTCACTAGGCCAATGATGGAAGAAATGCATATATGGAGACACCAGGTCACATACACACACATGAAACATCATGAAGCCCTTCGCCGATCTCAGGTGGTTTGCCGAATGTAGCACTGCGGAACATGCATACAAGCTTGTGCCATTCAGCCAACCACTCAAACAGCATGATGGTGAGCCGACAAACCTCCTGCTCAAAACATTGGTTTCCTGTCATCTCTGAGCAAACTTCTGCCCTGACCGGTCACCATTTTCCAGAGCCGTAGATCCACGCTTCATCTCTCCATCAACAGCTGGATCCAAGACCAAAAGACTGACGTGTGATGAATTCTTAACGATCTTGACATGGTGAAGAGCTTCATGTAGAAATAAGCCTCTTTCATGAAGAGGTCTGGATCCAACCTGTCTCAACTGCTTCCACACAAAGGTTCTTCATCAGGGTGGGCCTGACCAGTGTCTCATTTCAATTACCAAGTCCTGCAATTTTGCCAGGTCAAACCAGCCCCTTGAGGCTTCCGGGACAGCCGGAAGTCTAAGGACGCTGCATCTCTCCGATTCGCGTGGTTCTTGGCGTCCTCTGAAGCCGAGGCGAAGTCCAACCGGGAAAAAGGTACGACCGACCCGTGCCTGGAAGGTCTTCGCATTCCAGCAGGGCTTGTTCTCACCGTAGGGACATCCCTGCGAAAAAAAAAAAAAAAACACACACACAATGCAACAAATAAGTATGTTCGGGTGCTTAATCAGTGGATTGGATATGACCACAGAGAAACCAGTCTTTCCAGTACACAAAGGGTCGAGAGGAGGAATGACCTCAAAAGTGCCACCTCAAGTGGACACGCGTCACTATAGCACCATAAAGGAATGAAAAAGGAGCGTTCATGGGAGGAGGACTTCCACAGCCATGTGAGTTTAGCCGGTTTGACCAAACTCTCTGCAAAGAATTGGCCAACTAGGATTGACTGATTGACATAAACCCACCTCATTTGAGTTGAAACACCTCGTCATATTGTGTGTTTTATTCATCTTTAATAAAGAGTCTACATTAGGATATCTATGGGTGTGTCTTAAAATAGGGAGACCTCCCTATAAATAAGAAAGGGCAATAGACCAGTCTACATACCCATGGGGGCGATTGGGGTCAGCACCGAAGCAGGACAAAGTCCACTGTTCTGAGCAGGTGTGTTCAGCATTTGACAAGCGAGTTGGACATTTTGTGTGACAACTCCTTCCTGAAACATGAAGCAAGTAAACCTTTGAGGGAAACTATCAGGTGGTTAGTTCTTCCTTGGATTTGTTGAAGCAAGCGACCACCTGTCACTGACCTGGTCGAGCATGTTGCGTCAACAATAAATACGTAGATTGACGTATTTAGAAGATGTTGCACGTGGTTTTGCGGGGCCCGAACGGATAATTTTCCCGTCGATGCCAGTTGCTATAAGTGGGGCTCTCGTGCCTCGAACGTATTTTGTTGGCTGCAAAGCCTTCCAGTGGAGGGTTCACTCGACTCTCGGTGAACTATTCGTAGTCATTGAAGATCAGAACTCGAGATGTCCTCAAAGATATATTAAACAACCAAAACGCAAAGGTGCCAACCCTTGGAGGATCTTGTAGGGCATGCGGGTTCTGAAAAACGGACTTCTAGTTAGTTTACTCATGCTAACATTGCACCAAGTCACCAAGCATCTCCCCTTTTTCAACCTACGACGTCCGATCTGCCATCTGATCCCCCATCTGAAACGCCACAACCTTCCACGAGTGATGAATTTCAAGACCACGGCCTGGATGTAGGTGTAAGCACCTCCTGGGATGTGACAACCGCAGGTGACCTGAGCGATCTCGAAGCGATCGGCCGAACTCTTCGATCCACCGTGAAAGGTCGGCCGATCCGCCCCGGAGTTCAGGACCTGAACAGGTGAGAGGTTTTTTTAATGAGGACCGCAGCAACAGGCAGCAAGGACCTAGATGACCTAGGGACCTAGATGACCTAGAAGCCAACCCCAATCTTTCAGGTCCTCAGACATTACAATATAGCTCAATTTAGCCTGTATTCAACTTCAACCTGACATGGGCAACTACAGTAAATACATGTAAGTTCTTCGTTTTTTTTTTTTGAAAGCCCCCCCACAACCTGTCTACCTGGTCTACCTCGAACCTACGCGTGCGAATCTGGATAATCACCTTGCTCGCCGAGTGGCTGGGCAGTACATGCGAGTGGCATAGCCCATACCTCCATCCAGCTCCTGGGTCCGAACCAGCACGGCTCCGCTGATCCGACCGCTGTGGAGCTCGCTCAGTTGGTCCAAAGATGCTTCATCGATGTCTCGCATCGCCACGGGCCCGAGACCGTCTGGCACCGCACCTGTCGTCTGGTCCTCTACAAGCCCAGTGGTTCTCAGGTTCCATGTGAATCTTCTATTACCGTTTGTCCCGTGAATGGCATGTGGGAGATGGCTCTCATCCCGAAAGCAGGGAAAGAACAAGCACGATGAAATGAGAATCCACATCCACAGCAGAAGGGCATTGTTATGATAATTATATGTGGTCATCTGAGGGTGCCCGGAATGAGAAGCGGCACATCACTCTAGACTTTCTGGTAGTTTTGAAAGAAACGTGAAGTCTGTCTGTCACTACACTCCCTCTTGTCTCATCATGGCAGTGGCAAAAAGAATGAAAAAGACACACCCCCTCTTTGTCTTTGTCAAAGGGATCATCCCCTCGGGGCCGGCCCAGCCATGTCTCCCAGGAGGGCATCTTCGTCAAGGAGTGGCCTGCTGCCCAGTCGCGGCACTAGGAGTGGGCTGCATGAAACAGATGAAAAAGGAGGTGTACGCCAAACCGCACGAGGATCCTAAAGTGGCAGGCTAAATCCGCCATCTGCATGGACTTCTTCTCATTCGGAATCAATGCACACAAAACAATCAACCCAAGCACGTATCAAGCAATGATCCCAGGTCCCATGGTCGGAAGAGGGTCCCATGGGAGTCCCATGGGTCCCAAACAGGGGGTGAACTCCACGTAACGATGGAACGTCAGAGTGTATGCTGGGGTATTAGATTGTGCATGGCGATCACCCTTTTTCTGTGTCCAGAGATTGAACGTCATTCGTAAATCAACGCCTATATCAGATCGTGCAATAAAGATTCACAAAAGCAGCTGATATATATATATATATATGTAATGTGTGTATATATCGAGTGATCCCTGTTTTGGAATCAAAACATGTTCTTTTTCTATCAAAACAACGGTAATGTTAAGATTTCTACCTTCTATGCATGGTTACTGGGCCTCTCTAAGAGCCAAAGAAACTTGTATATGGATTAGACGAACAAAATCTACAAGTGTTCTTCAATTTCAGGCTATCGTCAAGTCCTACATTGGCCGACACAAGCGCAAAGCGCAACATGTCCATGTTCACTTCACCCTTTCAAGGACAGGAATCGAACAGTTCCTGGCTCTAGAGGAGGCCCTATCCCAGCCACACTTTCAAATCTTTCAATGTAGCTCAACATAATTAAACCCCAAAACTGCATGGTCCCATGGCTTTTGATCGCTTTTTGACAGGGTCCCTAGCGCTATTCCACAAAAGACTGCGTGTTCTTGCATCCGGCCCCACAAATCCACGCTGGGGCTTGGGCAGAAGGGCTCAGCATCAGCACAACTGTTGATGCTTGAGTTCCCCAAGGCATCCCGCAAATAATTCAACAACGGCACCTGGCACAGGTAGTTGGGTGCTTCTAGCGCATGCGATGCCGCAGACCGACGGACGCCGCAGACTGATGCCACACACTTTGCGATGGATTATGGCGTTTGAGAATCTGCTCCTAGATTCGTGTATGACGGGTTTTTGATGACTATTATATGTATATACTACACGCAAATCCTCTCAATCAATCCTGATCAATGCTCTCCGCTTCTTGCAAAGGTGCGATCAATGCTCTCCACTCAAGTTGTCGACATTCCAGCGCAAACAACCACGGCTTTACAGCATTTCCCACGGCTTTACAGTTCTATGCAACCTTGGCTTCCCATCGCGATTGCTCGGCGCGCCTCATTGGCCAAGTCTTCACAGTCGGGGTTCGACTGCGTCACCAGCCTTGGAAGATTCGTCCAGAAGACCCCCGGCGACACAAACACATCACATGGAAGTGGAAAAACACGGGAAACGTGTTTGTAAAATCGTCTTCCAAGGGATCATGCCATCCACTTCCATGTTAAGTGAGTTGCACTCAGTTTGGGCGACTCTTTTTTCGACAAACCCCCAATTTTCATGTATTGTTCCAGCCAATCGACAACATGGTGCAGGTAGAGGTCATCTTCAAGGGGATGGACCGCATAACATTTCGTAAATACTGTACCAGGACCTTCAAAGTGGCCTCTTTGGAGTCCCTGTCTGTGACCTTGTACAGACCTAAGTGACCTCATCCCGGGATATCAAAGGGGCACTTTGAAGGTCCTTGTATTTAAAGGTTGCTTTTAAGGTCGCATCACCAGGAAAAATCACCTGTGGGAATGTGTGATGTTTAAGTTCTCGATCTGGTCCAAGACGAGCTGTTCATCGTTGAACCCGGCAACTGGTGTCAATGTGGCGAGCTGTTTCCTTACATGTCCCACTTTGCTCGAGACCGAGCCATTCTTAGTTCTAGACGTGTACGAGCCATTATTAGTTCTAGAAGTGTATATATACACCAAACATTACCATCGGACCATCACAGTCCAACCGCACCGTGGAAGTTTTGCATGCTTGCTGGTGTTAGTCAGGTTGGCAAGCTTTCCTCCTCACTTCTCCAAAGGTTTAACGTGATCTGCATCCAATCAGAAGGACACGGTGGCCATACCTTCTGTGTGAGTCATGGATGGTTATGGCGTTCCCCCCTCCAACCCCAAAGCAATTATATGGAACAATCACAAAAATACTAAAACTGGTACGTTCCAGGCGCAGTTCCAGGTTCACAAACCTTTGTGAGTCACATCCTATTCCTCCAACCCAGTACCGCATTCGGCCCAATGGACTAGCAGTGGACTGGTGGAACTCCCTGGTTTCTAGTGGCGAACGTCTGCTTCATCACATCTCAAGCTGGCCGCCGGCCACAGAACCGCCCGCAGGTACTGAACCCTGGCGGAACCCCGCGGGACTCGAGTGTTGGGGTTTAGAAGGGCGACAGCACAAGTACACGAACTGGCGGACACCTGATGTGCTCCACACTTTTCAATATCTTCCACGGCCAGGGACGATGAGACATATGAATCTATGAAGCCCATGCCTGGGCTTGTATTAAAATGGGGACACCTCCCAGTCACCCTGGAAAATGGGAAATCAACTACAACTCATTGGTTAGGGGTCTCCCGGTCTTCCTACTAAAATACACACCCATATGCCCATATGAACCTTCTTGCTCTCCAGCTCTTTTTGTGGGAGCCACTGACATTGGCCGCTGTCGACCGGCATCCTTAAAGTACCGTCGGCTGGCTGCAGGATCAAGCAACACATAACAAAATCTCCCACTCGCACCATTGGAAAGTTCTGATTTTGCATCATCCGAAACAGCGCTGAGACTCTCACTGCTGTATTGGATGGTGAGACTTAACATATCTAGTCGCAGTGTTGCTGTGGGCATGATCTTAAACGACGTTAATGCGTGTTGCCAGTTGTCATTGCCCTTTCTCATAGGCATTAAAGGACTCTATGATGACACCGGGCTGAACTTTCGTCATAAACACGGCCTCAAGCAATTCCCTTTTGCCTTGGGCATGGCCTCCAACAATTGTAATGATGGTTGAAATTGTCCGCCCTTCTCACAGGCATTGATGGCTGCACTGTAGGTGATGACCTCTGCCTGAACTTTATTGTTG